TCTGGCCCATCACATTCCTTTGGAGTTGCTTACACCTCTGGATAGAAATTGATAAAACCAGCGCTGCCGGTATCGTTTAGTGCTTAATCAGGTTACGGTTGGTGGATTTTGCACTGATCCTTCGTTCAAATTCAAAACGGTTCTTAATGATGAAATACATGAGGAAATTAAGTTAATCAGGTTAACGGTAAGAATAGCTACTGTGGTTATAAAAGGGGTTAGATTCCAAGACTTCTGAATTACAGACTTCAATACAAAGCGAACACTGTAGCGATCCGAATCATTTGCCCGACTGCCATGGCAGTCCCAACACCAAGTGTCTCTTCTCGTCTATCCTGAGGCCTGACTTTGGCTCTAACGAGCATGTGATATAGGACTGGTATTAGTCGGCTGCAATTTATGTAAATTTCACCAGCCATTATGAACCACTACGTACTTGGCCTTAGCCCGTCTACTGGCTATTCTTATATCACGCCATCACACGGTTCACGGCCTATTTGCAACCAGGCAGCATCACGGACACCAATTGTTTTGGATGTTTTCATACAATAACAAATAAAGTCACGTTTTTAACCGGCGTTCTTGGGTCTTTTTACGGCGAAAGAGACAAGAAATTTGTCAGGCGACCGGCACCATTTTGACCATTTGCATTATGAGTTAATTTCCTCTGCTCAGTTACTGGAAGTGATTCGGCTTCACTGAGATTGAGGTCGACCAACGACGTGACAGCCAGGCTTTACTGTATTTTCAATTCATTGGGCAAAATTCGATGAAAATAAAATGAAGAGCATTTTATGAACACAGGTTACACAGTATTGGACCTCTTGTGAGTGTGCCACCGAGGGCGATGGGCAGGCAAACCTCGACGGCGACTGGGCGTTTGTAGGTATGAATTATTATCTGTATTTAGAATGAGGCTGAGCGTTGATTCGCTGCAAAAGTGTCCCTCTATCGCAGTGGTACCTGCACTCCAAAGTTACCGAGCTGGTATATTTAATGACACCATGATTACTAAATATGCAGTTTAAGGGTGTAATTTTAGCCAAAATAGAAGCAGAATATCCGACAACAAGCTGTAAAATTCTGAGGAAACGGTAATATGTATTTACAACCGGTGGCTTTGAAGATGCAGCCTTCTTGGGTGTATGAGATGAACCTAATTTTTACCTCATACTACTCCAGTATTGAGCGCTCTTAAACTGGAGCGATTAGTTTTGTTCGCGAACTGACTGGACCTCTGTACAATCGGTCAGAGGATGTGCATTTCTGAACAGACCTGTGCACTTCGTACATTCCAGTCAAATAGTTTCAAGGGACCATCATTTGGCTATT